TTTATTAAAATTAGTTATTTCACACACTCTCATATCCTGAAAAGGGCAGTTAAAAATCATTTAACTAACACAATACAAAATGCCTTTTTCTAATTCATTTAAGGTTTTGAGCTTGTTCTATGTCTCTCTCTGCACCAATATATCATTCTTAAGAGTTAATTCATGATTAAAATCAGCAGTGACCGATCCTCGAGGTCAATACTGTATCTCCAACATACCTAAGTTCATCCATTTCCCTCTTCTTCTTCATTTCTTCTTTTTCTTTCCTTTTCATTTCTTGAATTTGGGCTTTTTTTTCATTCCTCTCTTCACGGTCTCTGCATTCTTTCTCTGCTGCTAGGTCTGGGAACCGCTCCATTTTGGTCTTTTCTAATCGGTTCAATATCTCATTCACTTTCTTCTCCACTGTCACAATTTTTACCTTTGAGGGAAATAGAGGAGAGAAATATTGAATCTTTATTATGTGTTTTTCCCCCAAAACAGGAGAGAACCTTTCCAGCAGCTCAGCAGCCAGTAACCCAGTTTAATTCCCTTTAGAAAACATACATCATGCTCAGCCCTCAACAGCAATGGTGTTAGACAGAAAAGATGGATACTACACTCAGCGCCAGGAATCCATCTCCTTCAGTGGTGTAAAACTTACATCCTTTTGCCTGTGAAAGCCTATCTGTCCCACATCCATGTCAGCTGTTTTCTTCAGGTTAGACCACGGTGTATATACCACATTAACGTTGTTCATCTTGCAGCCTGCCAAGAGAAACTTGTCTTCAACATGGAGGCTGAGAATGAGCAATGCCTTCCCTTACCCATTGGCAAATTACCATAGTCTAACAAAGGAGAAGGCTTAGCGTGAACAAGCCATAAATTGTTTCAAACCACAAAATACTTTTTAAAAGCCACCCACAAAAGGCAAATGGTAAAGCTGACACACTAAACAAAACTCAAACAAAAGTATAATAATGGAAAGCAGGGGTCCACGGGTTAGCATCAGGGATTTCTGGAAGATCCCTAGAACCGAATGCAAAATTTGTTATAATGTGCATCTTTTAAGTGGAAAAGGACCTAACAGGTTTCCTCAGATTCTCAAAGGAGTCCTTGAGCCAATAAAGGTTAAGCAGCAATAGAAAGCAAAAAGCCATGCCTGAGAGTCAAGAGACCTGGACTCTATCCTGGAACTACCACAAACTAGCTGCGTCACACTGGAAAAGTCCCTATGGTTCTCTGTCTTTCATCTGAAACATGACGAAACTGACTAGTTTGGTAGGGTTTTCATTTGTTTCTTTTAGCACTGGAATCCTTTTACCAAAGAAAATATAGAAAGCTAATTAAAGCAAGATGCTCTGGACAGCAGGAGGCGCCAGGTATCCTGTCCACTCCTCCTCCTATCCCCTCATCACCACCACCCACTTCCCCTCCATGCCCAGCAGCCTCCCAGGCAGCTCCAAGGATCACAGTTTAGTCACTGGTCCAATACTCTCTAAAGTCCTTTCCTGTTAGATGGCAATGTATTTGCCATCTATAAATGTTTACTAAACCACCATATACACTGGAAAACCTGGTGAATACCACTTTAAGTGATCAAAATTAGCATCACCAAAAATGGGATAAAATGATATGTGCCTCCTGATTGCAAAGGGCAAACTTCATTTCTGCAGTATTCCTACCAAAGAGCACCTAATGGGATTCTAAACAAGAGGAAGGATCAGACAAACCAAAATTGAGGGACGTTCTACAACTGGTCTGCTATTTTTTAAAGTGTCAATGTCTTGAAAGACAAAGTATCTCCAGACTAAAGGAGACTAAAGAGACATGAGGGAGTCCTGGTGGTGCAGTGGTTAAAGCGCTCAGCTGCAAACTGAAAGGTCAGCAGTTCAAACCCATCAGCAGCTCCGCGGGAGAAAGATGTGGCTGTCAGCTTCCATACAGATTACAGCCTTAGAAACCCTATGGGCCAGTTCTATTCTGTCCTACAGGGTCACTATGAGCTGGAATTGACTCTACAGTTTAGTTTTTTAAAAGAGACATGACAAGTAAATACAACAGATGATTCTGGATTAGAAAAATAATGCTACAAAGGCACTGGATCTGGACATGTGGTAACTGAGGAGGAGGACAAAATTGAGAGCAGAGGGAACAATATAAACAAAGCCACAAGGTAGGAAAACAGCAAATGTTTGCTTTGGCTGGACTGTGAAACATGTGAAGGGGAAAAGGAGACTGCAGTCAGATCACAGAGATGCTTAAACACCAGTTTAAGAAGTTTGGACTTAATTGTATAGGCAAAGGAGAGTCACTTAAAAAGTTTCTAAGCTTTTAGAGAATGAAGAACACCAAAGTCACAAGGAAAATATCAGCCCAAAAGACAGAAAGGGCCACATAAACCAGAGACTGTATCAGCCTGAGACCAGAAGAACTAGATGGTGCCTGGCTGCCACCAATGACCACCCTGACAGGGAACACGATAGAGAGTCCCTGATGGAACAGGAGAAAAGTGGGGTACAGAACTCAAATTCTAGTAAAAAGACCAGACTTAATGGTTTGACTGAGACTGGAGGGACCCTGGAAGACATGGCACCCGGACTGTCTGTTAGCCCAGAACTAAAACCATTGCAGAGGCCAACTCTTCAGACAAAGATTAGACTGGACTATGGGACATAAAATGATACTCGTGAAGAGTGTGCTTCTAAGCTCAAGTAGACACATGAGACTAAATGGGCAGCTCATGTTCGGAGGTGAGATAAGAAGGCAGAGAGGGTCAGAAGCTGGTTGAATGGACACGGGAAATCAGGGGTGGAAAGGAGGAGTGTGCTGTCACAGTACAGGGAGAGCAATTAGGGTCACATAATAATGTATGTATAAATTTTGGATGAGAAACTAACTTGAATTGTAAACTTTCACTTAAAGTACAACAATAAAATAAGTAAAAAAAAGTTTCTAAGCTTTTAGAAAATCTAATCTGGCAAGAGAGTTTACGATGAATATAGAATAGGCTGACCAGATACTATGATGACAAACAAGTTTAACTGGAAACTTCCTTGGGTCTGAGCACTAAACATGCCCAACCAGGGAGTAAAATTCTTCAACTACGCAGCGATGCAAATGGAGTGTACTTTGCAAATCTCATAGCTAGAGTCAATTTTCTTTACTTCTCAGCAGCATCTTCTGCAATTAACTTCTGAAAGTGAGACTCTTGGACTCAGCTCCTCATTTTGCTAGGTGAGCTATCACTATGGAAGGTTAAAGAGGAGAGAAACAAATAGTTCAATGTCATGATTCTTCCCTTCTATTTTCTCTAGAACTAATAAACTATTAAGAGATTAAAAAGAAAGGCTGGGTCAAAAATAAAGAGTCTACAGCTCTTTTAACAAAGCCACATCTGCTATTTAGGGGTATGGGAAGGTGGCAAGGACATGCGAAAGATGTACAACACACAAGGAAAGTAGATAAAGACTGTTTTTATTTTAATTATTATTTCAATAACTAAAGATGTTAACTGGAAATATCAGAAAATTATATTCTACTCATAAAAATGGAAATTTCCCTAAACTAATTAAAATTTATTGATTTATAGAGTTGAAAATCAGTGGCTGTACAAGATAAGACTTCTACCTTCTTTGGCCAGGTACTAACCTGTTATTAAACCTGCCCGAGTTAGATCCAAGAAATGCAATCTAAGTGACAGTGAAAAGAATACAATGCCCAGATCGTATCCTGTCATCACCAACACCTGGCACCTGTTATTGGCTATATGTTTGTTCCATCCTTAACTTCCACCCAATCCATTTTTCTTTCCAACTCTCTGGATTACACAACTTCACATCAAACCAAACTTACCTCTACCCTATCTACGTCTATGTCCTACACCTAAAATCTGGTCTATTAGCTCAATCGTTCTTAGCAGAACATCATCTTCTTAATCACTACCCCACCCCAATAATCCTCCTTCTTGACCTTTACTGACTGATTATTGACAGATTAAATCTGGTACAGCAGAAATAAATAAGTAACAAGCAGGCCCCACCTAAAACCCTTAGGCCAATTGTTCTCAACCCTCTCTACACATTTCAATTTCCTGGAGTTTTGTTGTTGTTAAATACTGATGCTCAGATCACCCTAGACCAATTAAATAAGATTCCAGGGGGGAGGGGGTTTACTGTTTTTTTTTAAAAAATACTCTCAGTTGAAAATCATGGACTTCAGCAAAGGCACTGCTTACTGGGATGGTAAGTGGAGATGAAAAGATGGTAAGATCAACTGACCTGATACCTTCTCAACTTAAAGAGAGAAAAAAATGTGTAAGGAAAGAAGAGGAGAAAAAAAAAAAAAGCAAAGAGTGGCTTGGAGACTTGAGCACTACAATATAATGGAAAATTATGGAAATAAAAGACATCAAACAGAATTAAAAATAAAGCCACAAAGACAAATGTCTCTTCCTTATCTGTTAACGTAACCTAATTTCCAAAAGTCTTTGTAAAAATAATCTTATTTACAGAGCTCTAGATGACCTATTCAAGGTAAGGTAAACAAAGTAAAGAGTTGAGGCTCAGATAGAGCCATGAAAATTGGGGGTGGAGGGGTGGACGTTAGTTTTTAGTTATGTGATAGATACCAAAACTGTCATCTTAAACGACAAAACAGGGGAAAGACACACTATATATTATTCCTTTGACTTACAACAAAGTGAATAACCTATACTCTAAAATGTAATCCATTTCAAACACAGAGAAAGTCAGGGTTATGAAAACACCTCTAGGAAAACTGACCTTGAATGCTATTGGCCTTCACAAGGTGTGCACAGTCCATCAGCACTTCCTTTGGAATGTCTTCTATCTTCTCCCCCTGAAACACAATAATAAACCAAACGGTCCAATATCTTGTTATCGATCAATACTGGAGCACCCATAGGGCACTTGCTGGCTTAAAAGGCACTATCTTATTAAAAGCAAGGGCTTTTTAAATTGATATACAGCACACTAAAATCTAAATTTACTGTGTCCATTAAAATGCGGAAATTATTGAACAATATCAAATTACATGCAAGTAAAATTTTGCGGAAGATAATTCAAAAACAGTTGCAGCAGTACATCAACAGGGAACTGCCAGAAATTCAAGCTGGATTCAGAAGAGGATGTGGAATGAGGGCTGTCACTGCTGATGTCAAATGGATCTTGGCTGAAAGCAGAGAATACCAGAAAGATGTTTACTTGTGCTTTATTGACTATACAAAGGTATTCTACTGTGTGGATCATAACAAATTATGAAGAACATTGTGAAGAATGGGGATTCCGGAGCACTTAATTGTGCTCATGTAGAACCTGTACATAGACCAAGAAGCAGTGGTTCAAACAGAACAAGGGGATACTGATACTGAGTGGTTTAAAATCAGAAAAGGTGTGTTTCAGGGCTGTATCCCTTCATCATAGTTATTCAATCTGTATGCTTAGCAAATTATCGAAGAAGCTGGACTACATGAAGAAGAACGAAGCATCAGGATTGGAGGAAGACTCATTAACAACCTGCGATATGCAGATGACACAATCTTGCTTGCTGAGAGTGAAGAGGACTTGAAACACTGATGAAGATCAAAGACTACAGCCTTCAGTATGGATTACACCTCAACATAAAGAAAACAAAAATCCTCACAACTGGAACAATAAGCAACGTCATGATAAATGGAGAAAATACTGAAGTTGTCAAGGATTTCATTTTACTTGGATCCACAATCAATACCCATGGAAGCAGCAGTCAAGAAATTAAAAGACACATTACACTGGGCAAATCTGCTGCAAAAGAACTCTTTAAAGTGTTAAAGAGCAAAGATGTCACCTTGAGGATTAAAGTGCACCCTACCCAAACCATGACATTTTCAAACACTTCATATGCATGCAAAAGACAATGAAAAAGGAAGACCAAAGAAGAACTGATGCCTTTGAATTATGGTGTTGGTGAAGAATACTGAACGTATCTTGGACGGCTAGAAGAACAAAAGAATCTATCTTGGGAGAAGTACAGCCAGAATGTTCCTTAGAAGCGAGGATGGCAAGACTTCATCTCATGTACTTCGAACATGTTATCAGGAAGGACCAGTCCCTGGAGAAGGACATCATGATTGGGAAAGTAGAGGGTCAGCGAAAAAGAGGAAGACCCTCAACGAGATGGACTGACATAGTGGCTGTAACAATGGACTCAAGCATAGCAAAGATTGTGAGGATGGCACAGGACTAGGCAATGTTTCACTCTGTTGTACATAAGGGTTGCTATGAGTTAGAACTGACTTGACAGCACCTAACGACAACAACTATGTCCATTATGAGAATGTTTATTTAAACTAAGTGAAGGCAGTAATATAGAAAATACTTGAAACTTAATAAATGGGGAAAAAGACAAGATATGAAATAAAAATGGCAAAATATTAATAGTAATTATGTTGAGGAATTTTTGTTCCCCTTTTTTCTGCATTCTTCTCTCTTATTTTGTGGGGAAAGTTTTTTTGACAACTGGAAGTCCTGTTTTTGACAACTATTTTTGACAACTGGAAGTCTTCTTAGCTGAGGTCCCTATAACATTCCTTTCAAAGCAACACAGTTCTGGTTTTCAAACATCTGGTAGGTCATCTTTCCTCAGCCTTAATCAGGAAGAAAGTGTTTTGTGTGTTAGATCTCAAACCTTCTCCAAAGGCTTCTATGTCTTTCACATAAATCCCCTAGACTCTAGTTTACACTTCTGAAGGACTTCCACAAAACTCTTGCAGAGTTATAATGGTTAACTGGCACATGAGCAAAGTTTATACTGTGTACTATACAGAAAGAGAAATTAAAGGAAAAAAGGCAAAGAGGACATTCCAGCAGGCTCTCTCTGCAGAAATTTACACCCTAGCTAGGCTACCTGTGAATCCTCTTTTTTTAAATGTTTGAAAACTTCCTAAATTGTCTTTAATAGGTATGATTTAATGTTATAAGAAAAAATAAACATATTTTTAAAATGAAAAATAAAGTAGGCAATAGGGATTAAAACATTTCCAAGTCAAGCTTTTAAATAAATGCATATATAGATAAAAATAAGAACAAATCTGAACACACAAATGACATTGATTCTTCTTCTCAATACATACTGTATAAAAGTTAAAACTGAATAAGCTGAACTATTCTAACAGAACAAAAAAAAATTTTTTTTTTTTTTTTTTTGAGGCAAAAGCAAGTGGAAATCAATTCAGTACTGGCTCCTATTAGGAGTGGGAATACAGAAACACTTCTAGTCCTGGAATAAAATGTTCCACCTAACAATATTTGAGATAAATTAAGTTAATTTCATAATTTCTAATTTTACTTTAAATGTTTTAAGTGAGGATCTCTCAAATACACAAATGTTGACCAAAAAAATAAGTGATCTGGGTTTGTCACTACTTTAAAGATATTAGCTCATCCTATACATTTCCCTGACCACTTAGAGAATTCTGAATTTAACATCTTCTTGATAATTCAATATCATCATTATGAATATTATCCATTACACTGGGCTATATAATATAATGATGCCCTTACAGGCTTCTCAACTATGTAGAAGCTTAGTGACCCTATACTAAATAAATCAAAATGAATAAATTAAAAAAAAAAAAAAAGCTACCACTTTTAGAGTACCCACTATATATCAGGTACTAAGTAAACAGCCACATGAAAAGGATATTATTATTTTCACGTTACTAATGAAGAAACTGAAGTTTAGTGAGGTTATGTAACTAAGCCAAGGTCCCCCATATCTATTAAGTGATGGAGATGAGAAATAAACCCAGGTCTAAAGCCATGCTCTAAAAAGTGGCCCAAGCCTATGGTGCTTATGGAGTTCCTGTGGAAACATTTAGTCTCTTGGTCTCTGATGCCAAGCTATGTCCTGATATCCCTTCTTATTACTTGTGGCTGACACTACACCTGAAGCATTTTCCTCTTCCTCTTTTGCTACTTCTACTATGAAGAGCACTAGTGGTAAATGGTTTAGCGCTCGGCTGCTAACCAAAAGGTCGGTGGTTCACACCCACCAGCCACTCCGTGGGAGAAAAAACCTAGTGATATGCTCCCGTAAAGATTACAGCCTAGGAACCCTATGGGGCAGTTTTATTCTGTCCTACAGGGTTGCTATCAGTTGGAATTGACTCAACAGCACACAACAATATAATACGAGCAGACAAAAAAAAAAAAATCATCCAGCTTAGCACCATACATAAAGTCAGAGTAAATGAGCTCCGCGAGCTCCGCATAAAAGGTCAAAAGAGGCTCTCAATATATAAGGGCCAGAATTCAGACTGAGGGCTCTGTGCCATCTATGTTATGGATAAGAAACCACTAAGTGAGATTTTTCTATGAGTTTTCAAAATCAAAGAAGCTTAAGATAGAACACTGCTGAATATCTATCATCTTCAAGTTTTGGGTTACTTTCAACTGAATTTAACAAAAACAACACTTACATAGCACTTAGCATGGGCCAGGTATTCTTCTAAGTGTTTAAAATATGCTAACTCATTTAATCTTTGTAACAACACAACAAGCTAGGGACTGTTACCTCCCTTTTACAGATGAGGAAACAGGCACAGAAGTTAAGTAACTTGCTTATAGTCACACAGCTAGAAAGCAGCAGAGCTACAGTTCAAATCCAGCAGTCTGGCTCCAGTCTGCGTTCTTAACCACTTAGTCTTATTGGATCTCCAATACTTAACTGGTAGCTACTTGGTACAAAGCACTATGCTACTTAGTTATTACAGTTCAACCATGTGCAACATACTCAAAGAGCACACATTTTCAAATTGAGCATATTATGTGCTTCCAAAAGAAAGTGAAATTAAACTTCTTTTCAAACAAGTAATAACTGGTGGTAATGTTAACTTACTTAGACCAAAAAAGACTACCATTATTATTTCAATATTTTGACACCAAAGAACCCAAGGAAAAAATTTAATCTGTACCAAAGGGAAACTTGGTAACACCATACTCTATTTTTTCTAAATTAAAATAGCTTCAAAATCACAAGAGGTTGCTAGAATTCAGAATTGTAGTCCAGCAGAGTTCACAACCCTCTTCTCCTCCACGTAAATGGGGTAAGGAAATGTGGGGAACAGTGTTTATCCTTGCTAGCAAATTGAGATGTGAAAATCATAACATAATGAAGGAGCATCTTGTATTTATTAAAATGGTCAAGAAGGTTTCATTTTTTTAAGTTATAAAATCCAAAAGGATTTTGGAAAACCTTTGTATAGCAGATAGCATTGTAAATTAGCACAATACTTTCAGAGGTCAATCTGGCAAAAAACAGTTACCAAAAGCTTATACCTTTTGATCCAGTAATTCTATTCCTGAAAATTACTCTAATAATTTGAAAGGAAAAAAAAGTGGTTCATTAAAAAAATATTTGTTAGGGATTCATAATGCTGAGAAATTACTCTACATCCTACATTGTAACAAGGGAGTTTTCGTATTAATTATGGTATATAATGATCTCAATATAGCTGAACAAAATAATAAATATGAAAATAATACAGTAACATAAAAAACATTTATAAACTATCCTTTTAAAAAATAATACAATCAACCAGGGGAGTCCCAGAATGGAATGTAGACTGAGACAAAAGAATTTAACTGAATTACAAGTGTATGACAACCTTACTGCAGGGGTGGAGGAAAGAAAGCAGCTTACAAGTAATTTTGGAAAACAGTGTTTTGACTAGAAACTGTAAAGGCAAAAAGACAAAAAGAACTGTACATAAACACTGTACTCTAGTTGATAAAGTTGTTTCTCATGAGGATATGGGTTAGCAATTCTAAAACTACTTACATGTATACTGGAGTCAAATAAATAAGTAAATAGATGGTGGGAGCCAGGTTTCTCACTGTTGGAGAAGGAAGTTACAGATAAGCTAGAGGGAAAGGCTAGAATGAACCACGTAATGAAGACATCAGTATGAATTCATATTTAGCTTAATTTGGATACAGAAACAATTTTTGATACATATATATTCATAATTTAGCTCTGTCTACTGAGAAGGCCTAGACCTAGTGGCACTCTGGTAACAAGAAGTACATCCAGAGCCCAGATCTTGATTTCTAAATACCTTTCACCAATAAAAGGAACTAGGCTTCCTTGGAGACAAGGCTGGGCAGAGAAAATATAAAATGAGCCTGGAGTATCTTATAGTAAGTAAGAAACTGCTTAAAAAACAAAAGGATGGGGGCATGTCAAAGAAACATAGGAGTCAAACTGAAAGAGCTCCCAAAGGCAAAAGCTGGAACAAAATAACATAGTACTAGATTATATTCCAAAGTCTAGAATAAATATATGAGCCAACACTAACATAAACGACTTACTTAGTGAATGACCTTGTACTGATACTGGGTCTTATGGGGTGGTTTGGAGTCAAAGTACAAGGTTTTCATACAAATAAATGAACTGGGGAGAAAAGGCAAACCTTCCTTACATAAAAATTCCAAATAACGTATACAGACATCTTTCCTCCAGGAAATGAAGCTTAACTCTATCACCCTTCCCCTTGAGTATGGGCTGGACTTAGGGACTTGCTTCCAAATAATAGAGTATGGAAAAAGGGGAAAAGCAACTTTACAGTGGAGAAATCTGGCAAACACTACCTTGGCCAGGCAATCAAGATAATACTACCAGTGATGTCATATTGATTCATGTACTCCTGCTATTGACAAGAAAGGCACTTTGCTTTTGTGCTATTCATTCCAAAAGCCCATAAACCCATTCTAATCATGAGAAAAACATCAAACTCAAATTGAGAGACATTCTACAAAATACCTGACCAGGACTTCTCAAAACTGTCAGGGTCACAAAAAACAAGGAAAGACTGAGAAGCTGTCAGAGACTAGAGGAGACTAATGAGACACAATTACTGAATGCAATGTGGTACCCTGGATGGCATCCTGGAACAGAAAGAGGACATTAATGGAAAATGAAAGCCAAATAAAATATGGAGTTTAGTTAATAGTAATGTACCAATGTTAGTTTCTTAGTTCTGACAAATGTTTCATGGTAATGTAAGATATTGCAATAGGGGAAACTGAGTGAGGGGTATACGGAGACTCTTTGTATTATCTCTGCAACTTTTCTATAAATCTAAAATTATTCCAAAATAAAAACTTTATTTGTTAAAAAAAAAAAAAAGTAACACACATAACTACATATACTCTGTAATTCAACTATACAAAATATATACATATGAATAAGGACAGATTAGAAAAACAATGGTATTATATTACAAGGGAACATTAGATCTTTTTTCCTTTATTACTATAAAAAACCTGTTGTCATCAAGTCGATTCTGACCCATAGCAACCCTACAGGACAGAGTCAAACTGTCCCATAAGGTTTCCAAGGAGCACCTGGAGGATTCAAACTACCAACCTTTTGGTTAGCAAGTTTTAAATCTCCACAAACAAGTCCCTGATAACTGGGGAACATCTGCCCTCAGTGAGGCAGGAGAATAAACACGAGCCTGAGAAAAAGGAACCACAACACAATCTCCCACGGAGAAAATAGAAAGTTCAGTAGTGTCAACTGAGATAAAAGGGAGAACCAGAGCCAACAACAATACACTTAAACTGGCAGGACAAGGCACTGCTCCTAAGTTGGGAAATGGGTACCATGTTCCCTTTCAAGTCTCAGAAATCACCCAGAATTTCCCTAGTGATCTCTAAGTCAGGAGAGGACATCTCTTCATTTGCTCAAATTTAACTTTTTCACATATTTATTACTTTAAGCAATTTAACTGCAGAAAAAGGATAAAGAATAAGATACAATGCTCATCACTAAAGTTAAGAACCCATGTTTAAATCCAGTTACCTTATGTAATCGAAGGTATACATGAGCCGAAGAGAGTTTGTCCACATGAAACCTACAAAGAATGAAAATCACTTTTAGCAAGAGGTACAAGATAACCATTTCCTTAGGCCACTTGCATTTAAAGCAATCCAACACAAAAAGTATTCCTTCAATGCCTACCATGTACTAAGCACCCCAAGGAGTATAAAACAGTCTCTGCCTCCAAAGTGCTCACTTTCAATTTGCATAAACACTTAAAGTTATGCAGCTACTTATGATTAAGTGCCAAGATGAGTAGTAGCGACAGTAAATGTCAAATAACCTGAGAATGGAGATTTTTCAAGGGATAAAGGCTATTAGTAACCAACGTCTTCATGGGAGAACTGAGATTTGGTTGGTCCCTGAGTGAGCACAGGAATTAAGAGACAAAGTAAAAGAATTTCGGACCATAAAAGAAGGGAATGAAAGAAGTCAGGGAGACTCCAATGTTGCGAGCCTGGGAGACTTGCAGGACTACTGACAGAATTACATCAAAGCTCAAGAGAGCACAAGTCTCAAGAAAAGATAAGGGGCTCAGTTTGGGACATCCTGAGTTTCAAGTGATGGCAAAACAATATCAAGCTTTAGAAGAATCTGAAGAATATCAAGCATTAGAAGAATTTGAAGAGTAAGAAGAGTTAAGTTAGGACTGAAGACACTAAGCAGGACACATCATAAAATGGGTCAGACCAACAATTCATCTAGCCCTGTGTTCTGACAATGACACTAATATATGTCTCCTGGGAGAACATGGTAACTGCCCTTTGACGCTGCCTTAAAAACATTCAGAACGCCCCCCGACAAATAACTGAAATTTACCTTTCATTAAGGCTCTTCATCGACCAATTTAATTAAATCTTACATCCTTCTTCATCTTATCAAATAAAATTCTCATGTTTATACTTCACCAAATGAAGCTTTCTCTCTTTCCAACACCCAAAAGATACCCCTCAGAGTCCTAGCATCAAGCAACAAATAAGCTTACTACATGGTTGCCACTTTGTGATTCTGTCATATCCCTTTTTCTTAGTCCTTACCTTTACAGACTGAAGAATTTTCAAGTAAAACTTGAAGAAGGCACCATTACATTCCATTATATAGTTCTTTAGACATTTTCTTAGTGCTAATAAATTTCTTATAAGTGAAAACGGTCACACACCTATATATAGTACAAGATGTAGACAGTATGATTCTATCTAAAGGTTAAGACTATGATATTTTGAATACCCTCTTTAAAGAGGCGGTTGTTAGTTGCCATCAGTTCATTCCGACTCATGGCATTAGCATATGGCTGTTCACTTTTGATTAGCAAAATATTAGGCATTTTTGGAAAAGTCTACAACTCTAGGATTCTACTCTTAATCTTATCAACAGCCAAAAAAAGACATAACATCTTATTTTTCTCCAAGTGGTTCAATTACTCATTTGCATTTCCATATCAAAGATTTCTGCTGATTATCGCCTTCAGCTTAGCATTTTCCACCCAGAAAACCTCAGTGTTTTTTGCAAATCTACAAATTATATATCTCATTCAGGATCTTAGGAAAAAAATGAAAAACTCCACTACTAATCAAGTTCATTTCCAACTTTTGATTTACTTGTTTTAAACCGTTATCTATTTACAACAACTCTTTCCTACATACCTATGGTAGGTGGATTGTATTGATTTTTCTAAAAGGTCTCTTGCGTGGAATTTTGTCAAAAGAAATACCCAGTTAATGGTGATGGAAATATCACATTAAGGGTAGGGTTGCACAGCCGATTATTGTAATTGCTGTCAATAAGTTGTACACCTGTAAAAAGTTGAATTGGCAAAAGTTGTGTGATGGATATATTTAAAACAAAGACAAAAAAAAAAAAAACCAGTAGCTGCAGAGACTGCTTATGTACCACCAAAAACCGCATGGGATTTGGTTCCTTGGTTTGGAGGTTTGAGGTAATGGTTTTATGGGACATTCCAGTTAACTGGCCTAATAACATTTTCAGTGCTTCTGTTCTACCTCCTAGTTCAATGCATAGTTTCTGGGATCTTAAAAGCTTGCAAGTGGCCATCCAAGACACAACTGGTCTCTATTTGCCTGGAACAACAGAGGAATAAGGAGAGTCAATAATAGGAGGAAGATATGGAATGTGTGGCTAACTGCCTCCACGAACAACTGCCTCCTCTGCCACATGAGACCAGAAGAACTGGATGGTGCCTGGCTACCATTACTGAACATTTTGATCAAAGACTTCATAGAAGAATCATGATCAAAGGGAAGAAAATACAGAACAGAATTTCCAATTCTCATGGACTCCAGACTTCCTGGAACCATGAAACTACTGCCCAAGATGATCTTTAAACCTTAAACCAAAAATATCCCCTGAAGTTTTCTTAAAAAACAAACAATAGTTTAGCTTAACTAGTAAAAAAATGTTTGCCTTGGGCCTTATGCTCTGAGATCTATCTATATGAGATCAAATTGACAACAGCAACTTGAAATATTAGATAGGAATCTCAGGGGGCAGTGAATTTATATTGAGGGAAGAACAACTCAGAAAAGGAGGATGAGAATGACTGTACAACATGAAGAATGTAATCAATGTCACTGAACACTACATGGAGAAACTATTGAATTAGTGTAGGTTTTGTTATGTACAGTCTCAACAACAATAATAAAATTAAATATATAAAAAAGAAAACCAAGATCAAACCCATTGCTGTTGAGTCAATTCAGACTCACAGCAACCCTACAGGACAGAGCAGAACTGCTCCATAGGGTTTCCAAGGAGTAGCTAGTGGATTCGAACTGCCAACTTTTTGGTTAGCAGCTGAGCTCTTAACCACTGCACCAGCAGAGCTCCATATAAAAAATACCCAAGTAATTGAATATATCTTTAATGAATACTTACATAAGTAGTCAAAATACCAAAACTCAAACAGGAATATCATTCCTGATATATGTCAACTTCAGGCTCATTAAATACACCTTTACAAAGGCTAGGGAGAATGAATAGAAGTATGAGGCTTGGGCTGAAATGTAAGATAAGGAAAAGATCCACTTCTGTAAACAAACTAACTGAAGCAAGCTTCCTTAAAAAACAACCTCCAAAAATGCTTACTAAGCTTTTCCTAGTTCCCTCTTGTCCTCATCCCTAATTATCTTCCTCTCCCTGCTAATCACAGTGTCTTAGTTATCTAGTGCTGGCGTAAAAGACATACCACAAGCGGATGGGTTTAACAAACAAAAATTTATTCTCTCATAGTCTACGAGGCTAGAAGTTCGAATTCAGGGTGCCAGCTCCAAGGGAAGGCTTTCTCTCTCTGCCGGCTCTGGGGGAAGGTCCTTGTCAACAATCTTCCCCTGGTCTAGGAGCTTCTCAGTGCAAGGACCCCAGGTCCAAAGGATGCATTTCACTCCTGGCTCTTCACGCTTGGTAGTAATGAGGTCCCTCTCCTCTCTGCTTGCTTCTTTTTTTCATATCTCAAAAGAGATTGACTCAAGACACAACTTAATCCTGCAGACTGTGTCCTGCCTCATTAACATAACTGCCTCTAATCCTGCCTCATTAACATCATAGAGGTTAGGATTTACTAACACAGGATAATTACATCAGATCACAAAATGGAAGATAACCACACAACACTGGGAATCATGGCCTAGCTAAATTGACACATATTTTGGGGAGTCACAATTCAATCCATAACATATGGTTACCTTTTACTGAATGAAGAGACTAGGAACTTCAGTAAATGAGCATCAATTATCTGAGAATGCAGAGATGCAGGCCTCAAGAAGCTGGGTCACTTAACTCCTTAAAATGGGGTCTGTGGAAGTGTTACTTACTAGGGAGCTTTGCTGGAGCTCTGGTGGCACAGTGGTTAAGCGTTCAGCTGCTAACCAAAAAGTTGGCAGTCCGAATCCACCAACTGCTCCTTGGAAACCCTATGGGGCAGTTCTACTCTGTCCTATAGGACTGCTATGAGTTGGAATCAACTCGACAGCAATGGGTTTGGTTTTGTTTTTTGGTAGAGAGCTTTGAGGCAGTAAATACACACTACTTCTATATTCCTTCATTTAAAGATGACTTTAGTTCCAGTCTCATTTAATCCTAGGAAAATACCTGGCTTAAAGGAGCCTCAGGAGGTTTTCAGAGGTACGTCCAGGCACCTCTGAAATTTCACAGGGATAAAATTCCAAAGCCTGCATCAGAGTGAACCAGATAAAGGCATGCCCTGGAATATAGGTAAACTCCTAAATTATCCTTAGCACTCCCAGGAATGCTTCCCAGGACTGACAGTGTATGAGGTGGAACTGGTTTCGATTTGGGGCTATTCCTAATCACCGAGGCTCTTCTGGCTTACAACAAATACAGAATTGCTTCTGAAAGTAAAATTCAATCACTTTTGACAATATTCATTAATCTCAATGCTTGATATTTAAAAAGCCAAATTCACTGCTGTCAAGTCAATTCCAACGCATAGCAACCCTACAGGACAGAGCAGAACTGCCCCCACAGGGTTTCCAAGGCTGTAAATCTTCACAGAAGCAGACTGCCACGTCCTTCTCACGCAGAGCAGCTAGTGGGTTCGAACTGCCGACCTTTCGGGCAGCAGCCGAGCACTTAACCACTGCACCACCAGGGCTCCTTGACTTTATATAAAAGAGTATCAAAACGCATGTCTAGAAATCTGTAGGTACCAATTTAGTAAATACCATCTGGGAGTCTGGAGAGCTTTGGGTTTTCAGGACAACTAAAAATAACTGAGCTGGGGGGTTACAGGTACTTAAAATGGAGATAACGAGAACGCAGTTACTGTGAGGAAATGTTAGGTGACGATCATTTCTAGGCAGGCAGAGGCCTAGTTACTTAGTAAGTCAGCAAATATTTATTGAACATCTATATGTTAGGTCCTATGCTAGGTACTGAGAATATAAAACCATAAACCAAGCCAGCTGCTGTTGAGTTAATTCCAACTGATGGTGACCCATGTGCTAAACAGTAGAACTGCTCTATAGGGTTTTCAAGACTTGACCTTTCGGAAGCAGATCGCCAGGGCTTTCTCTGAGGCACTTTGAGTGGGTTCAAACTGCCAGCCTTTCAGTTAGTGGTTGAGTGCTTAACCATTTGTGCCACCCAGACTACGTTCTGAGAATATACAGTGAAACCTGTGAGAGCTGAAACTTGACAGGGCTGCCTTGTTTTTCCAGGTCTTGCAAGCTTTCCATCTTTGACAGGGTGCTGTCACCATTTTTCTATCTCTGTTCAGTGGGAAATATTTTCGTTTTCCTTCTGACAGGTTTTTACCTTACACATGTACCGGCTCTCACAAGTAAACCAAACAGGTGGATCACTGTCCTCATGGAGCTCACAGTCAAGGGCCCTAGGGAGATAGGATCTTCCAGTATAGGAGCTCTCAGTACTACCAACTACCCATTTGAGGTACGGGGGCACTAAACAGTGTCTACCTTGATGACATATTTGAGTTCAGAAGATGGACCATTGTGCTGGAATGGTGGCAGATTTTTTAAAAAAGCCTTTAAAATTCTTCAGGTTTCTGAAGCCTCTTGGTTACTCGGGCATACAGATAGGAGAACATTTCCTGTGGGGTAAATGAACTAGCCCTTTTATAATGGGATAGGTTTGAACAAGAGGAAGCACCCTTAGGGAGTCCCTACAGACAGGCCTTGGGGTTCTAGCATAGCCACATCTAGTTGTCACTTAAATTATTTTCTGTGTAATATTTCCCCTACTAAATGCTCAATACTATATACCTTATTGAAAATTCAATAAACTCTTCTGAAAAGTGGCAGCCTAAACTCTGCTATCACTAAACCAAACCAAACCAAACCCAGTGCTGTTGAGTTGATTCCGACTCATAGCAACCCTATAGGACAGAGTAGAACCGCCCCATAGGATTTCCAAGGAGCAACTGGTGAATTTGAACTCCTGATTATCACTACAGACAGTTAAATAGAGAGTCTGGGCCCACACTTGCAGAAAAGAGGTCCAGAGAGAATAGCAGCAATGGCCTGAGGGAAGCAAGAGGTGACCTGCAGCCAAGCAAGTAGCAGCCTGGGGAAAGAGAGAAGCCATGATTTAGAACTACAGCTGGTTAGGGTACCAGTAACAACCAGAGAAGGCCTGTTCAGTTTCTCTTAGCCTTAACTTCTGCATCTGAAAAATGGGCATAATATCAGCACCTATTTCATAGGGCTGCTGTAAAGATTAAATATATTAATATAGGTAAACGCTTATCAGTATTTGGCATATATATAAGTGCCCAATAAATGTATACTATTACTATCATATTATAGCAAACAGGATCTGTATGTTTAGCTTCAGGGATGGTGTTTGGTAGGGAGTGTTATGAGCTAGGCAGGATCAGGCTTCAGGAAGAGAAATATTGCAAGGGTCAGAGTGGGTGGTGGAAGCTGAAGAAAGAAAAAGAAAGCAAACTGAGTCTGAGAGTACTACAAGAAAGAAAAAGAAAATAGCAGGAGCCCATGCTGGTAGAAAAGCCCATGACCTTCTAAGGTAGGGCTTTTTATCATTTTTGTTACTGGTGATGTTTTCTGGACTGGCTTTTGCAAGCAGCAAAATCAATTGTCTCAGAAGGAGACTAAAAGTATATATTATTATTTTTTTAATTTCTATGAATTATTTTAAAAGTGGAGGCAAGGCTGGAACAAGACAGGGCTAAACTCATTATGGAGTTTAGAGGGTAATAAAGGGAAACCAGCGTATGTTTCCTTTAAAGCTGAATACGATCAAATGCTGCATCGACTCCATTTACATTTACTCCAATACTCCATTAACTCCATTTACATGGATGGTTGTGTCTATTTGTCACTACTTCTTGTACTCACCCATTCACTTAAGAAGTGGCTCTAATAAGTGGGGTAGTCTCAATAACTTACTATAAGGAGACAAAAAGGAGGTAAAAGAAAACCTATGTTTCAGAGGCCTTTGCTCTCAAGCCTGAGATCTAACCCTAAGACATTATTCCTAACGTACACGGTAATTCTAAAGGAAGGAGCTGGTGGCCAGCTATTTACCACTGAACACTCATAAACATAAATAAAAGCACGAGTTCTAGTCTTGATCACAGGAGTTAAGTAGCTGGCTAAGTCCCCCAGTCTCAGAAAGTAAATGACCATCCAGAAAAAGCAGAACCAGAACTGTTACTTACCAAATATCTTCAGGCCAGCCATACTTTATTAGATCTTCATCTATAGTGATACAAGAGAACAAAAAAAAGATAAGAAAAAATGTCAAATAACGATATACTACGGTTTATAGCCGGGTTTACAGAAAGTTGGGAAGAGGAGGAATACCAGTCCCTTCCACAACTTTTTCCTCATCTGCTTAACAGAGAAAAGGGTATTTTCAGAGAGGCTTTAATGCTTAAAAATTCAGAAAAATAAAAATAATGTTTATAATTGAATAATATAAACTTTACAATTTCTATAACAGTTTCAATTTAAAATGCAAAGATATTTATATTTGAAGATAAGAAAACATAAATCAGAGGAGGTGAGAAATTAGATGATATATTAGAAAACTGATTCACCGTAACAATACTTATATGTTAAAATGGTTTTGAAAGCATGCACTGCATTGTACTCTTAAAAAAAAAACTCTCAATTATGAAATTGCAGAAAATTAGGGAACAAAACAAATGCCAGAAGTATTAAAAAAAAAAAATTAAAATCACCAAAAATTCTGTCACATATGGAAATAAAACACCAGATGAAATAGAGGAGTTCAAAGTACTTATCTCTGAAGGGTGGAATATGGGTACTGGGAAGGACGGGGTAGAGAACTGGTTGGGTTTTTTTTTTTTTTATTACAGGCCTTCTACTACTATTTGACTTTTTAAAACTATGTACTTGTAGATAAAATAAAAATTTAAAGATTTCTTTGGAAATAATGACTATCTAATTCCATCATACGCATAAAGTTCTCTATTGTCGACATGTTGTTTGTAATTATAAACATTTCAATAAATTTTTTTTTAATGAAGATTCCATATTCCTGATTATTTCCTTTAGGTATATTCCTAAAAGCTGAAGTATGGTTCAAAGTGCATGTACATTTTTAAAGCTAATAATACATATCACTTCAGAATGGAAACATCAATACATACTTCTAATCATCAATACATACTTCTAATAGCTATATTAATAATTGTATTTAATATACAAGTATTATTTAAAGTATTATTTAAACACTAATTTAAAAAATAGTAAGGTAAACAAACAATGATCTTAAATGTACCCAAGACAGTAAAATCTACATAACTTAAATGTGGTATTTATTGTCTAGAAAAGCAAAAACATGATAAATCTTTGATGAGGACACTCTTAGCAACTGCAGACACAATGAGTTTTCTGAAGGGCTTTCCACTAGCTTCAGTAGAAAGCTGAACAAATAGCTAAAGGATAATCAGAAAAAATCAAAATCAAAAAAACCAAACCCATTGTCGTTGAGTCGACTGTGGCTCATAGTGACCCTACAGGACAGAGGAGAACTGCCACATAGGGTTTTCAAGAAGCGCCTGGTGGATTCAAACTGCAGACCTTTTGGTTAGCAGCCGAACCCTGAACCATTACGCCACCAGGGTTTCCAGAAAAAGTAAAAACAACACCAAGAAAAAATCCAATGCTGTCAAGTCGATTCCGACTTACAGCAACCCTATAGGACAGAGTAGAACTGCCCCAAAGAGTTCCCAAGAAGCGCCTGGTGGGTTCGAACTGCTGAACCACTTTTGGTTAACAGCCGAACCCTGAACCATTACACCACCAGGGATTCCAGAAAAAGTAAAGGGAAATACAAAAACCTCTTTTCCTTATTCAGACAATGTTTGGCTCCCTGATGACACCTGCTGGCTAACAAAAAGAGCAGGCCTGAAAGATTTTTAGTGAAAGTGAATCATGAAAGTTAAAATTCATTTTCTTTCTATCCAGTCCTTAGTCTGAAATTATCAAGGCTATCAGAAATAATGTGCTAGGAGTGCTAGAGAACAGGGTTGCTTTAAAAGATGGAATGCCTGGGGGAGGAACAACTCAGAAAAGAAGGGTAAAAATGGTTGTACAACTTGAAGAATGTAATCAATATCACTAAATCGTACATGTAGAAACTGTTGAATTGGTGTCATGTTCTGCTGTGTATTCTCAACAACAACAAAAATAACTTATAAAAAGAAATAAAAATTTGAAAAAAAACATAATACCCTTTCTAAAAGGTAAACTAGAAGAAGCTGACAGCTCCAAATGACTCCAAGAGTTCCTAGGGGAAAAAAGAGTGTTCTATATATTTTAATGACTGTAAATCTCCGCTCCACAGGGCTCTAGATATATCTGTAGATGTAAATTCTGTATCTACATTAATGTCTGTAAATATATAAATTCCTACAATACACATTTAAAGGAGTCTACAATCTAGCCCCATACTAACCCACTCCACAAAGCCGCCTCAGTTCTCCCTAATCACACTTACTCTCTGCCCCCATACTTCTACGGCACTTGCTATTATCACTTCATTGTGCCATGCTTATTTTTGTGTGTGTCTCTGCCTGTATACTGTGAAAGCATACACTAAATTTTCCTCTTTGGATACATCACAGAATCTGTATGTTTAGCTTCAGGGATGGCATTTGGTGGGGACTGTTATGAGCTGAGAAATGATATCCCACTTTACAAGCAGGATTAGGCTTCAAGAAAGAAACATCACAAGGGTCAGAGTGGGTGGTGGAAGCTGAAGAAAGTAAAAAGACAGGAAACTGAGTCTGAAAGTATTACAAGGAAGAAAAAGAAAGTACCAGGAGCCCATGCACACCTAAAAGGTTCTGCAACCTGGTGGTAGAAAAGCCCATATGCTGTTCCAAGACAGGGGTTTTTATCGTTTGTTTTGTTACTGGTGGCCTGACTTCAAAGTTACGCCTTTTCCAAAATACTGTGCTACTTCCATAAGAAGAGCAGCTGTGTTTTCCAAACTTGAAAGAGTAATTCTGTCATTTTCTCCAAGCTCTCTGATCGTAGTTTCCTTTCACACCTCAATGTTCCACATTCTGAGGGTCAGTGCTATAAACTCACTGCTCTCTTGATTATCTAAAAGCTAAACTTCACTTTCTTGTCTCCCTCCTCACTCAAGTAGCCAAAAGGCTATTCCCTAAAGCAGTTCTTTTTTTTTTTTTCTTTCTAACTTTAGGCCTGGCGATCTACTTCCCTAAGATCACAGCCATTGAAAACAAACCCCACGGAGTGCAGTTCTACTCTGACAAACATGGGGTCACCACAAGTTGAAATCGACTCGATGGCAACAGGTTTGAATTCAATTTCATCAGTAGGTCGAAAAATCAATTCAACAGGTTGAGACTACCTTTTTTAAAAACTACAACAGAACAGAAAGTAAACGGCAGAGCACAAAATGCAGGTATTTTTTGTAAATCTTTTAGTTATATGAGTATGTACATCAAGATGTAACCTATTTCATACTGAAGACCGTCAACAAAGTTTTTGAAAACATTGCACTAAATTGTAACATTTCATAACTCAGAATGAGCCACCATCAGCCTCAAAAAAAAATAACAATAGATATGTATAGAAAATAATCTCTTCAAAAACCAAACCACAGAGAATTTTTATTTGATCTAAATTAGCACAGGTTAACCTTTTATTCATATCATCTTAAATCAAATGATACCGACAAAACTCTTTGAAAAGTTTCTTATCAGCAACAAGTGGTTCAATTAGCTCAAATATTATCTGGCATAACTAGATTCTAGAAAAGTTAAGACTTTTGCCAATCCTATAGAGTTCCTGAAATTGGTTGTGACCTGTTTTTCAAAGCAGTTAGCTGAAAACTCACATCCATGGAAGAAAAAGACAAGTAACACTTACCTGCTGGAAATTTCAAAATCAAATGCTTTTGAAAACTTACTTTCATATTTATCCTTTCCCATGTAAATAGTGTAAGCAGATGAATTAACTAAGAGAGAAAAAAAATTAGATAACTTCATCACCAACAAAATTATTTTATAAGAAAAACAAGTAACAAATGCTTAGATGGGGGTTAGCAAACTATGGCCCAAGGGCCAAATCCAGCCTGCTACCTGTTTTTGTCCAGTCATTGAGCTGTTTTTACATTTTTAAAGGGTTGGAGGGGAGGGGGACAAAGAAGAATAAACTATAGAGACTGTATGTGGCTCACAAAGCCTAAAATGTTTACTATCTGGCCCTTTACAGAGAAAGTTTGCTGACCTTTATAAATGGCTACTTTCCTACTTTCTCAGGGATACAGTTCAACGCAATTTCCAGTTCAGTCCTATACTTTTGCCTTCCTCGAGAGAGTTAAGAGAAAAAACAAAACACCTACAAACCTCAATCACTTAAAAATAGGTTCCTATCGTTAGCCTATATTAGTTATGGAGCCCTGGTGACACAGTGGTTAAGAGCTCAGCAGCTAATCAAAAGGTCGACAGTTTAAATCCAACAGCTGCTCCTTGGAAACCCTACGGGGCAGCTCTACTCTGTCCTATAGGGTCACTATCAGCTGGAATCAACTCGACAGCAAAGGGTTTGGTTTTGTATATTAGTTACATCCCAGGTCTGCTGCAAATTATAATGGGCTCCCTATCCCATTCAGAGGAACCATGGCTCTCAAATTTCTTCTAAATCATTGAGTCTGAACTCTGATAATACATTATTGTTGTTGTTGTGTGCTGTCCAGTCGATTCTGACTCATAGCAACCCTATAGGACAGAGTAGAACTGCCCCATAGGGTTTCCAAGGCTGTAATCTTTGTGGAAGCAGATCACCAGGTCTTTTCTCCCGTGGAGTGGCTGGTGAGTTCAAATTGTCGATCTTTGGTAACAGTCAAGCAATTCAACCATTGTGCCACCAGGGTTCCTTGATTATACTTTAGATGACCTAATTGTGCCCTAGCTCCACCTCAGACCAACTAAATCCAAATGTCGGAACAACTGGGTAGAGGAGGGAGGGACGGCAGTGAGCATTTGTGTTTTTTAAAAGTCCCCCCCCCGCCAAGTGATTCTAATGAGAAGTCAGGGCTAGGAACCACTATACTAAATCAAACTGAATAATCTGTGTATGGCTTATCTTAGGGATGGCATTTGCTTTACTGAGGTAGTATGTGTTTTAATATGGGCATCTTCAACCTGGAATTAAACAAAAAGTTTAGATTCCTACTGAAATTATAGCTGGTTGCTAGTATTTCAAGCTAGTCGCTCAGACTTGTTTGACCCCAACTGGATCGAAACTACTAAATTAACAGTTAGTTGCTGGGCCCTCAGTCTACAAAGCCTGATAGACAGGTGGAGGGTTGGGCTGGGCAGTCTGTCAGCTGTGGCTCCAAAGCACAGAACTAGCACATGGGAGTAGAGCTCTGAAGGCCAGGGAGCAGCACTCTCATATACAAAGCTCATTCTTACCTTAGGGATGCCTTCACTTTCAGTAATGCCTTAACTCATGAGTCCTAGTTGCCTCTTAGATAGGAAAAATGCCCAATTCCTTCAGTGACTTCAGTTATAGTGACTACATCATTAATTACTTGGAAGTAGTTAAGTGAAACAACTTGAGAGAACGTTTGCATTGATTAGTTGGCAGAAATACTTCTCAGTAATTGAACATTAGCTTAATAAGAGGGAGCCCTACTGACGCAGCCGTTAAGTGCTGCTCAGCTGGTACCAGTAAGGTAGGCAGGTCAAACCCACCAGCCACTCCAAGGGAAAAAGATGTAGCAGTCTGCTTCTGTAAAGACTACAACCTTGGAAACCCTAGAGGGCAGTTCTACTCTGCCCAGTCGGGTGGGTATGGGAGCTTAATAACGCTTTAGCATAACATGTAACAAATACCAGCAGTGTGGGAATAAAACTAAAAAGTATTTCAGATTCTCTCTGCACAATCTGACAATATTCTATGTGTACAACTTTTTGATCCTACAATGTCACCACTAGAAGTATAGCCTACAGAAAGACTATACCAGTTATGTTCTTTTCTAACCTAAACACCCATTAGCAAGAGACTAGTTAAATACACTATACCATACCAGTTGCTGTCCAGTCAGCTCTGACTCATGGCAACCACATGTGTGTCAAAGTAGACCTGTGCTCTTCCACAGGGTTTTCAGTGGCTGATTTTCTGGAAATAGATCACCAGGACTTTCTTCTGAGACATCTCTAGGTGGACTTACATCTCGAACTTTTTGGTGCATTAACTGTTTACATCACCCATCCATAAACAAAATACCACACACCCATTAAAAAGAAAGTAGCGTACATTATAAAACAGTATTTTTCTGTATCTGTGTACAGCAAGATTCAACTTATAAAAAACAAATATATAATTGTTTACATATATTTATTTTTTATACACACATACATTTTCTTTATATGCATGAAAGGATATACACCTGTTAGCTGCAGTTACCTTGGGTAACTTGCTTATGAAATGCGATCAGAACAAAAATACTTTTTATTTTTTAGAACAAAAATACTTTTAAAAATTGGAAAAAAAAAAAAAGTTGTCTCTATGAAGGCCAAGTCATCTAAAGTTACAGCCAAGTAATTCTTCGAAAATAACAACATCGTGAAAGACAAAGACTGAGCAACTGTTCACGATTAAAGGAGGCTAAAGGGTCACTATGAGGCGGAATCAACTCAACGGCAACAGGTTTTCTTTTTTCTTTTTTTTAAGAGTAATGACAACTGAATGCAACAAATGGTTTGTAATTTTCTTTTGCTTTAAATACATTATTAGGACACTGATGAAATCTGAATATAGCCTGCTGATTAGTATTATAGTAACGTTAATTTCCGAATTTTGCTAATTTGCAAATTTTGTTAATTTCAAAAAGTGTTTTGATAAGAGAATGTCCTTGATTACAGGAAATGCACAGTCAAGTATTTAGAGATAAAATGCAACTTACTAACAAATGGTTCAGGAAAAAAGTGCGTGTGTGTGTGTTTAGAAAAGGGAGAAGAAAGGGAAGAGAAGAGAGCAGAATGGGAGAGAAGGGAAGAGAAAGATACAAGGCAAATGTAGCAAAATGTTAGCATTTGGGAATCTAGGAAAAGGATATACAAGAAATCTTTTACTATCACCACTTTTATTCTATATTGTACTGGAAGTCCTAGCCATAGCAATAAGGCAAGAAAGGGAAATAGTGGATATCCAAATTGGAAAGGAAGAAGTAAAAAGATCTCTATTCACAGACAACATGACTTTTTGCATAGAAAATCCCAGAGATTCCACAAGAAAGCTACTGAATCTAACAGAAGGATTCAGCAAAGTGGCAGGGTACAAGATCAACACACAAAAAATCAGTTGAATTCCTCTACGCTAACAAGGAAGACTCTAAAAAGGAAATCAAGAAAACAATACCATTTACAACAGCCCCCAAAAGGATAAAATATCTAGGAATAAACCTAACCAGGGATGTAAGAGACCTATACAATGAAAACTATAAAACACTATTGCAGAAAACTGAAAGTGACCTTCATAAATGGAAAAACATTCCATCCTCATGGAATAGAACCTTCAACATTGTGAAAATGTCAATACTACCCAAAGCGATCTATAGATACTGAATTGTGTTCCCCAAAAATGTCTGTCAGCTTGGCTAGTTCATGATTCCGTGTTGTGTGATTGTCTACCATTTTGTCATCTGGTGTGATTTTCCTGTGTTGTAAATCCTGGTGAGGTTCGAATGGTGGCAGTTCTGTTGACGGGGCAGGACGCAATCTGCAGGATTGGGTTGCATCTTGGGCCAATCTCTTTTGAGATGTAGGGGAGAGAAGTGAGCTGATAGACAGGGGGACCTCATACCACCAAGAAAGCAGCCCAGGAAGCAGAGCCCATCCTTTAGACCTGGGGTTCCTCCATGGAGAAGCTCCTAGACCAAGGGAAGGCTGATATGACAAGGACCTTCCCCCGGAGTCAACAGAGAGAGAAAGCCTTCCCCTGGAGCTGGCGCCCTGAATTCAGACTTCTAGCCTACTAGACTGTGACAGAATAAACTTCTGTTTGTTAAAGCCATCCACTTGTGGTATTTCTATTACAGCAGCACTAGACAGCTAAGACAGATACAATGCAATCTAAATTCCAACAACACTCTTTACCAAAATGGGAAAACGTATCACCAACTTTATATGGAAAGGAAAGAGACCCCAAATAGCCAAAGCAATATTGAAGAAGAACAAAGTAGGAGCCCTTACACTCCCCGATCTCAAAACATACTATACAGCCACAGAAACCAAAACAGCCTGGTACTGGTTCAATGACAGACACATAGATCAATGGAATAGAACTGCGAACCGAGAAATAAATCTATCCATGTATGGGTAGCTGATTTTTCACAAGGGGCCAAAGTCCATACAATGGAGAAGATGCAGTCTCTTTAACAAACGGTGCTGGCAAAACTGGATATTTATTTGCAGAAAAATAAAACAGGATCCATGCCTTATAGCATGCACAAAAACTAACTCAAAATGGATCAAAGACCTAAATGTTAAAGCCAAAACTATACAGCTCCCGCAAGACAATACAGGGACAAAACAAAGGGACCTAATTTTTTTCAGTAATAGATTACCAAACAAAACTACAAATGCATGAGCAACAGAAAACAAGTTAGATAACTAGGACCTGCTAAAAATTAAATACTTATGCTTATCAAAAAACTTTTTAACAAAAGAGCAAAAAGAGAACCTACAGATTGAGAAAAAATCTTTGTGAATGATATATTTGATAAGGGTCTAAGCTCCAAAATATATAGAAAACATCAACAACTCAACAACAAAAAGACAAATGACCCAATCTAAAAAATGCACAAAGGACATGGACAAACACTTCACCAAAGAGGACATTCAAGCAGCCAACAAAAGATGCTCATGATCATTAGCGATCAGAGAGATGCAAATCAAATGAGATACCATCTCACCCCTGCAAAAATGGCACTGATCAAAAAAACAGAAAACAACAAATGCTGGCAAGGTTGCGGGGAGATTGGAACTCTGCTCCACTGCTGGTGGGATTGTAAACTGATTCAACCACTACGGAAAATGGTATGGTGCTTCCTCAAAGAGCTAGAAATAGAAATACTCTATGATCCAGATCCCACTCCTATGTATATACCCTAGAGAACTAAAACTACTGACATAAACAGATACATGCACACCTATGTTCATTGCAGCGTTATTCACGACAGGAAAAAGACGGAAACAACCCAACTGCCCATCAACAGATCAGTGGCTAAACAAACTGTATTACATACACACAATCGCATACTATGCAGCCATATAGAATAACGATGAGTTCTCAAAATGTACTATAACGTGGATGACTCTGGACAACATTATGCTGAGTGAAATCAGTCAATTACAAAAGGACAAATACTGTAGGATCTCACTATTATAAAAAGACAAAAACAGGTATGCATACAGAAAACAACATTCTTTGGTGGCTCCTAGAGATGGGATGGAGAGGGAAGGGGAATCACTTTCTAGATAGTAGACACTTGTTAGTTTTGGTGATGGGTTAGACAATATCAGATAAAGGTGAAGTCAGTACAACTTGACCAAGGTACAAGATGACACTAAGAAGTACACAAGAATAAGGGACAATTTTGGTAAAAACCACAACATATACAATTTTCCAATAAATGTAATAACAACCAAAAAATACGTGTGTGGTTATACAGATAGATACATATGCTTATATATGTATAGGTAAGCACACATGAATATATGGGTGTGCATGTATAGGTGTTTCTGTAGGCAAATGTATATACATGTTGTGTGTGCTGCATATATATTATATAAAATAAAGCAAATGGGGGCACAGATATGGATACTTCCTAGACAAACCAAACACCCTGTGGGACTGGGTTACTGAGTTTGAGGGCTTAGGACCACAGTCTTGGGGGTAACTCGGTCAAGTGGCATAACATAGCTCAGAAAGATAATGGTCTACATCCTAGTTTGGTAAGTAGCATCTGGGGTCTTAAAAGCTTGTGAGTAGCCATCTAAGATACAATTATTGGTCTCTATGCATATGGAGCAAAAGAGAAAGGAGGAAACCAAAGACTCAAAGACGAAACTAGTCTACAGAACTAACAATCTACAGGAACCTTGAGACCAGAAGAACTAGCTGGTGCCCAGCTACCACTACCAACTGTTCTGACTAGGGACACAACAGATGGTCCAGAGTAAAATGGGAGAAAAATGTAGAACAAAAACTCAAATTCCTAAAAAAGGCCAGACTCACTGGACTGGTAGAGACCAGAGGAACCCTCGAGACTATCACCCTGGGATACCCTTTAAACTTGGAACTCAAACCACTCCCAGTGGTCACCTATCAACCAAAAGACAGAGTGGCTCATAAAATAAATAATATCACCCATGAGTACTGTGCTCCACTTAACAATCACCAAAATGAGACCTAATGGTCAACGTTTACCGGAGACCAAAGATGAGAAGGTAAGGGGGAATAAGGAAACTAGATTAATGGAAGCAGAACAACCAGAATGGAAATAATGAGAATGCTGACATATTGTGAAAAGTGTAACCAATGTCACTGAATAATATGTATAGAAATTGCTAAATGAGAACCTAATTTGCCATGTAAATTTTCTCCAGAAACACAATAAAATCTTTTAAAATAAAAAATCTTTTACTATTTTTGCAACTTTCTGCAAGTCTGAAATGATCTTAAAATAAAAAGTTGAGAATAAAGGAGGAACATGATTGCTAAGCAAGAAGTCTGAATTTAGCTCCTTTCCTGATTAAATGGATGTAGGAAAAATAAATTGAATTATTCTAGAACATTTGTTTATTCTCACCCAAATAACAGTGTTGATTAATCTGGGAACTGGTCATCTTGATAAAACCTAATTCAATTAACAGTATTAAAAGTACAAGTAGACTTAATAAGCTAAGTGTAGATATTTTGTAGGTTCATAAATCAGATGGTATTGAATCTGACACTGGAAATATAGTAACGCTAATGTTCTATTATTCCATTATGAGGCAACCGAAAGAATGAAAAAAGAACAGATTTTAGAATCAAAGGCATTGCTTATTTTAAAAGAAAAAGGTAAGAAACTTTCTATAATAGTTTTCTTCCCATTAAAAAAAATTCTGTAAACAGTTAATTTAAAAACTTGACTATTCATATGAACTAATTTCCTGAAGATTCTGTATGTTAAAGTTTTTACTGTAATGCTAATAACATTTTATTTAGTTTACTAAAAAGCTATAATATTAATTTGCAATTTTAAAAGATTTGCTGCACACTAGTTTTGTTAGACTTAAAGGCCAAATATTTTTCCAGCAGGAAGCAATTCTGACATTATAATGGAAATCAGTGAGGAAAACAGGATCCACAACTCTGCTGAAGCACAAGAGTTTTTTTTTAATCACAAATATATCTGATTATATATATAAGAAAAAAAAACGGCTCTGAATATAAAGCAATCACAGAATTTTTTTAAAAAAGCAAACACTTGAGAACTTACTGCCCTTGCACACTGGTTCCTTCAAAACACTGTGCACCTTACTCTAATAATGCTGCTGTGCTCACAATTTTAGTGTAATTAAATCTAGAGTTAACTTACAAATGTAAAAACAACTAAGCTTTGACCATAACTTCTTTCTTGTTTATATACAATTCATATCAAATGAAAAAGCCAGTTTATTTTTTTAAAAATGCATCACAGTGAAAGCCCTGTGAAGGTGCCTAAGAAAAAATATGGCAACACAGTGCTTACGTTAAGATTAAGGAAACTTGTGTACGTACGTTGAGACCCTGGGTGGCACAAATGGTTGAGCACTCAGCTACTAACTGAAAACTTGGTGGTTCGAATCCACTCACAGGTGCTTCAGAAGAAAGGCCTAGTGACCTGCTTCCAAAAGGTCACAGCCATTAAAAACCCTATGGAGCACAGTTCTTCTCTAAAACACATGGGTTTGACAGGAATAGGAACCGACTCCACAGCAACTGGTTTGGTGTGTGTGTGTGCGTGTGTGTGTGTATGACTAGCACTTAAAGAATTCAGAATAGCTTTAAGTGGAATAAACAGCTAGCATAAAATACATTTAGTATTTATGTGTCCTTCCTGTATTTATTATTCCACTGTTGGGCTTGTATGGACATCTATGTTACTGGAGAGTTCCATGAGCGGAGAAGCTACAAAGATGCCTGAGTTATCTCATGACAAGAATAGAACAAGAGTGAAATCACACACTGGTAAAGGTGTACAATTTTTCAGGTTAGTATAAATTTTGTTTCTAGTAATCTGAATAACATGGGTAAGATGAACCAAATGTACAGAGGCAGATAAATCACATATGGCAGACTGCTGAAGTGTAACTACTGAGAAAAATAATGAGACTTGACAGCGTGATGAGGTAGGAGAAGGGGTCTGGGAAGTCGGCCTCTAAATAACTGTAAGTCACAACTTCCCTGGGCCTCAATTTTCTCATCTCTGAAGAAAAAGCATCACCCTATTCAAACCCACACAAACAACATGGAGCTAGTCTCACTTAAGTCTGATCTTAAACAAACAGAACAATAGACAGTGCTGTAAGTAAGCCAAAATCACCATTAATTTCTCCAACAAGCGTTTATGCAGTCTCTATTGTGAACAAAGCACTATTCTAGGGAAACAAGATACAGAGATCCTATCCCTGCCCTCAAGGGGCTTACACTGCAGCTCAAGGAGACGGCATTTAATATCATGTGATAAGTCCAATGCTAACGTATACATGGGATGTTAAGAGGGTCCCAGAAGAGGTATAGCTAACCAATCTGGGGGTGGCATTAGGTGAGGAAAGGCATCTTGGAAAAAATAAGCCAGGGCTGTTCTAACGGAGTAGGAGTTAACTGGGAGTTGATTCTAAGTGAAAGAGCGTGAGCAATGAAACCAAGGCAAGAAACGGTACTTCTGGGGAACTAAAAGCACCCTATCTTCGTCTACCTAAGACAAATCAGAAACATTAGCATACGTCACTTTTTAAGATCTAGGACATTAACTCTGCCCAGTGAATGGCTATATGGCCATTCCAGGGTCTTTTCATTACTTTCTGTTGCATCTCAGGCCCTAAAACCCTTTCTTAGAAGGTTAAGGCGCACTTGCTGTAACGTAAGAGTTGTTGGCAAATGTCTCTATTCTCCAAGTGGACAATTACCAGGGCGCAGCCAAAATAAAGACGACAAAAAAAATAAAGACTTGGACGAGCAAGAGCCCACAAACTGCCCAATTCCAGAGAGCGACAAGAGGTCTTTCCGAATCTGGGGAAAAGAACAGTCCCCAAATGCAAAGACAAGGGGTGTGGGGATCGTCCCTCCGTGCCCCTAGAGCCCTGACGAGGGTACGCCCAGGGACGAAGGTGGCAGTGAGGGACGGACGCGGCGGAGAGTCCGAGAAGACGAGGAAAGAGGCACCCAACGCTTTAGGAAGACGTCCAAGCGTAGCGGCGTCCTGGGGGTCTCGGTTTCGGGGCCCCGCTGTAGAGAAGGAACCCGGGAGGTCACGGCGCCACTCACCGCTGCTGCTGGTGAAGTAGAACACCATGGTCCCGGTGGCGGGGCAGCCACTGCTACGCAGAGCAGCAGCGCTCAACTCAGGAAGTTCCGGATACCAGAAGCGCGGAACCCCCCTGCTCTACGGGACTCCTCCGGACACTTCCGGCGGGTGGCAGGATGCGTCATAACGCCGGCCCCTCGGCGCCATCTTTAATCCTGGCAGGGCGAAGTGGGTTGGCGTGCTGGGGTGTTAAATGGCTTGGGGACTGAGAAGAGAAATGGATGGATTCAGGGCAATTGGTGGTTGGAAAACGTCTTCTTCTTTGAAGCCATAAAGGAAAAATGCCACTGGAAGACTTTAAGAATCTCTACCCAGTGGGCGCTGAGGTTCTAAGGATTACTAGTTTTATTTATCTGTCCCCTCTCACTCCCAGATAGACTTCCTGAGAGCAGAAACGGCCTTCTTCACAGTTACTCCTTCACTGCACCTAGCACGATGATTGGCCACTTAACAGGACCGCATTAAATTTTGAACAAACTCAAATTTCTCCACTATTCTCATTCTAGCTCCACCATTTAACGCGCATCTTGGGCGCATTAATTAACCTCTGTGCTTCACTTTCCAAATCTGCAAAACGATAATATAGCATATGATGCTAGGGTTTGTTGGAGAGGAAAATGAATAGACATCTTTCTTTGGTTTTTAAGGTTTTTCTTAACCATGAAACCAAATATTAACCATAAAAAGCCTGACCTAGACTGCAAAAGCCTGCCAGAAGCTGCTTGATACCAATGTAAATTTGTCTTTTCCTGCTAGAAAAGAATAGTTGTCAAACCATTGCCTCCTAGTTTAAATCTCAGAAAGCCTCAAGGCTGCAGATGGGTGGAGGGCCAAATTATTAGCAGCCAGGCCAGAAGCAAACTGATACCAGTTGATCTCAGTAAAAGCGGAAGGCAGGGTTCAATCAAATCATGTTAAGATTAACAAATGGTTGCTCGCCTATATTTCTCTCTCCTCCTTATGAGCCCCATTATACCTTGCTTCTTCCAGCCATTTGCTTTTTCTGGAATCAAAATTGCCTCCCTATATACATATGGGGCCCTGGTGGTGCAGTGGTTAAGAGCTTGGCTGCTAACTAAAAGATCGGCAGTTCGAATCTACCAGCTGCTCCTTGGAAACCCTAAGGGGCAGTTCTACCCTGATCTATAGAGTCACTATGAGTCGGAATCAACTCAACAGTAATGCATTTGGGTTTTTTTTTTAAATTATTATTTATTTATATGCATATAGAATAACTGCTCAGGATAAACCTTATGTACAAATTTCAGTAAATTTTGATTATTTTTAACGGGTTAAAGAAGTTAATAGGCGTAAAGGGTTTACAACGTGATAAGCACTCAAGTGAGTTATTAGGTAATATTTACTAGAGGTAGCATGCCTCTTGGGTTTGGGATTCAGCACGTTCTGGATATAAATCTAAGATCTGCCATCTATTACCTAGAAGACTGGGCAAATTCCAAACCTCTGAACCTTATTGATTGTCCTGCTGTAAAGTGGGGATAATACATGGTCACCATGAGTCTGAATCAACTCAACTGCAACCGTTTACTGGTTAATGCTCCCAGAGCACTTAGTTTTGACCCGATTATTGCTCTTACTTCATTCTGTAGCTCATGAAGTTGAATGCACCACTTAACTAAATTTATTTAGAACGAAAAAGTATGGTAGAGACTGTACCAGGCTTTAGTGACACAAAGATAATAACAATAGCTAACCAACCAATGGATGCTTTAGGAATCTTTTGGTTTTTCAAAGCAAGAACCTATGTCCTGTAAACAGTAATTGCATTTCAGGCCCTCAGTTTATATTCTTAAAATGGGAATGGTAATACATACCTCATAGATTGTGGTGAGGAGTAAATGAAATAAACCATGTAAAGCGTATAAGAATGCCTGGCATTAAATTTAACTCTAAAAAATGAAATAGAAACCAAAAGGATTGTTAATAAGAAGAAAAAAATTAAACTAATGATCAAGTTCCAAATGTGGAAAACAAGTGAATCGGGAATCTTGGAGAAACTACAAAAACTTCCTAAGGCAAATGACCCCTAAAACGCATCTCAAGTTCAGAAGAGCGCCTCTGTTCTGTCAAAAACTACAATTCCCAAAATGCACCAAAACAAACCGCCTGGAAAGGAGCCTGGCGCTGCCGCAAGAGATTGTGGGAGGCGTGGTTTCCCTGTGAAAACGGCGTTTAGCCACCCAAGGGCGGGAGAATATTGGAAACTGCCTCCTGGGTAGGCGGGGCAAGGGCTAGGGAGCGACCAATCAACGAGCCAGTCCCTGGAAGCGCTGAGATGCGGCGAATAGGAACGCAGCGGCTTCAGGCACGACTGGCGCGCAATAATTTGAATACATTCACGGAGCGACTGGCTCGGCTGAGGAGAGGTCGCGCGACTGTGAGGATCAGGTAACCACTGCGGAGGGCCAAGCCTGAGATTGGAAGACCGAAGAGAACGCAAGATTCTGTGGGACGAAGGAGGTGAATGTTAAAGAAAGAGAGCTCTTGCTATGGCTTTGGCGGGCCGGTGGGCTCGAAGCCGCCGACCCATTCTCCATACTGCCGAGTCCCCGAGTGTCCCTCTTTCTGATGCCGGAGCTTTCTTTTTCTTTTTCTTTTTGCCCTGACACGGTTCAGGGAGAGGAGCAATTTTCTCATTCAGCCCTAGAAGGATCCTCCCTTAAGCCTCGGCTCTGTATTAGCTAGTAAGAAAACAAGTAAGCGGCTTGCTCAAAGCTCTTCAGCTAGTAATATGGAAGATTATGTTTCGCTCCCCTTTTTTTTATTTTGCTGGGCGCTGGTGAAAAAATTAGAAACGTCTTTTTCTTCATTGAACATACAGGCTGTTGAACAAGACAGATAGTTTAAACAAACAATAAGAAAATGTATTAAATGGAATATTAATGAGGTGCAATGGAAACAGAACAAGAGCATCTAACAGTAGGAGGGGTGTTTAAGTATGGTGTAAGTTAATGAGGCTAATTAAAAGGGGAAAGTGTGCCCTGAATAAGGGTAAAAAAGAATTCCTCCTTGGTAGGGTCATTTTTCAGCTGGAAGCATGTATTGTCCCTGCTTTTACTTCCTGTTCTTATTTGCTACTGTTATGTAGTATTGTTGTTTATTAACTCCATGCTATAAATTCTTATTAAAGTAATTTACTTTTTTAAAAACCCTTTTCCTGGGCCTTTATGGACCATCACTCATCTGGAAACTTTAGACTTTTAGTGTAATTTTGATCCAGTAATTTTTACATTCATTTGATAAATTTGATTATTGTAATTGCCTTATTGCTTTTAGGAATTCTGTTTAAAAAAATGGCAGCTTTTACCCCAAGAAAAAGGAAGCAACATTCTTTGAACTGTGACAGGTGAGTCTCATCCTATGGATAGAAACCCTTAAAGAAGAAAAACCCACCATCTCTTAAAATTTTCATTCTTCCACTTGCATACTCCTTGTGGCTATATAATATTTTATATTCTAATTTTAGTTCTTTTGGAGGGAATCACAGAGAAAGCTGTTTTCTAAAGCTGGGAAATAATATCTTTTATTACCCTGCTCCTTTCCACTCCCCTGTAATATTTAGGGTACTGTTTTTTGCATACAGTGGATGCTTATCTGTAGGCAGTCCTAGAAAGTCTGTGTGCTCGGTACTTACTACATATCACACCAGAGATATAAATCACTCTTAACAGAACAGACCGCAGGCAATCAGTTTATTCTGAAGAATTAATCATTATAGGCGACTTCTTGTAACCCATAGAACAAAGTATGCGAACTATAATTTGCATATGGCCAAGACTTATAAATAGATTTTAAAACACACACACACATACATATGTATATCAGAACTTCTTTGTAAACAATGTTTGTTTCCATGAACATTATTGGGATCTTCCTTTTGAAAGATATTTGAATGCTTTGTTTGATAAAGACAATTTAAGTTAGTTTACTGTTAAACTAATAGATAATCTGTGCGTATGTATGTTTTGCAGAGACGGTGTATTGTTTTTAATATGACATATAGGTAGATATTATTTAGCAGTAGATTGAAGTAAATATCAAAGTAAAATAATGGTACTTATCAATGGACTTGATTTCTTGTCATAGCCTATTATCAGACATTCCATCAAAGAAATTAATATTGGACTTTACTGAAAATATATTTCTACCACCTAATAAAAAGCACATTCTTCAAAGCAGTGATAAAAATGAAGAAAACATGCATTGCTTTCAACAAGACGATTTCATTTCAAGTTCACTTAATACTTCAACATTTCCAACAAATAAAAAAAATAGATCATCATCTGCCGATCAAGGTTCACCGTTTAAATCTGCTGTGTCCACTGTGTCCTTTTACAACAAAGATAAGTGGTACCTCAATCCATTGGAGAGAAAGCTGATAAAAGAGAGTAGAGCCACTTGTCTAAAAACTAATAATGAAGATAAATCTTTTCCCAGTATGATGGAAAAAATGCAGGGAAAACCAGTCTGCTCCAAGAAGATGAACAAAAAACAACAGAAGAGTTTAACTGCTAAATGTCAACCAAGTTACAAGTGCATCAAACCTGTATCAAGGAATTCCAAAAATTCCAAGCAAAATAGAGTGGCCTATAAACCAATTGTGGGGAAAGAGAATAGTTGTTATTCAGCTGAAAATAATCTGAATGCTCCTCGAGTACTAAGCCAAAAAATAAAACTACAAGTTACACTCCAGGGTGGAGCGGCATTTTTTGTTAGTAGGAAAAAATCCTCCCTTAGAAAATCATCTCTGGAAAATAAGTCATTACTGGGATCTACTGGAGAGAATAAATCAGAAGTGACTGAAGATTCTGATGGAGAGACTGTCCGTGAAAGAAAAACTTTTGAAACAAGTCAAGTGCCTAAGTGCTTGTTACAGGAACTGAACATGGAGCTACTGGGTGCAAGAAGTAAAAACGAGAAATTAATGAAGGTAAGGAAAGCTACATACCAAAAAAAACCAAACTCGTTGCCATCGAGTCGATTCCGACTCATAGCAACCCTATAGACAGAGTAGAGCTGCCCCATAGGGTTC